GTATTTACTGTCGCTTTCCCTAGATCAATGCTCAGTTTTAAATTGTTAAAAGGTATAGCTAATAGCATGGGACATATAAGCCATGTAATTTTGGCAACATATACTTTAGAAATACCCACTTTAAGGCGTACTGTTGGGTTTCTCATGGGATAATTTTTAGGGTTTGATGTGTACATTCTGTCTAGTGTCTCAGTAGTTAAAAAGAAACCTGAGTGGCCCTTGTGATGGCAATTTTGTCATAAATATTTTGTTATTGCCCTGATTAGTAATGTTTTATAGCCTTTTAGACTACTTTTGTGTTGTACTGTTGCTTAGCCTCACAACAAAACTAGTGTGCTGATAGGATAGATATTTTGATTTGAGCTCTACAGGGACTGAGTGTAAGTGCCTTGTCCATCATCCTGTAATTATTATTACACAAAGCTGGCTCTAGAACCCAGATTTCAAGTTTCATCTGTTCAACTGAATTATTTTTCTTCCTCCAAAATTAGACAGTATGAGGAAGTTTATCCATATTGTGCCATTTTTTTCCCCTCATAAAATCTGAATGGAATCTGAAATTAGGCTGTTGTGGGAGAGAATAGTTAGCATCTCTGGTTCTCTGTGGCCTTGGAATCACCCTGGGAGGTGGGTGGCGCATCAGAGGCCAGTGTACAGGTGAGTTGTAAATGGAGTGGTAGCAAAGGGTGTGAAGTAGATGGCAGTGCTGGTGCTCACACCCCAAGCTTCCAGCTCCTCATCAACAACTCCTTTTATCACATTACGCTGAATAAAGTAGCAGTTAGAATAATTGTTGGGGAAATGCTTTTAGACTAGGATTGCAAGTTTTCCTGTCACATCAGAGACCTGGGCAAAAGTAGGAGAAGAAGAGTTCTTCACTCATCATGCCATCAGTCCAGGTGATTGAACCCTACCCCACTCAACCGCCTTTCTTCCTAGCAGAGGGTGACCAATGACATTATGATTAATAATGAGTAATAGGTAGATTCTGTTTGGATCTGTTTTTTTTAAGTGAGTTTTTATATTTTTAACAAATCCTTTAAGTATCAAAGTGGAAATTACATACATTTTTTTTTCTGTTTTGCACCATGTTTTCTAATTGTTCTGAGAGTATAATTGAAAACAGATGACTGGTTACAGACTGAGTTGCTAAAAGAAGCCTAAATTTTAATCCCATGATTTATAATCTACCCCTGGCATCACCTTTCCATCTTAACTTTTACAAGAATGGTAGTGATTTTTCTTTTTTTTTTTTTTTTGTTATTGCTCAATACTCCCTGATTTTAGCACAGGTCCTGCTCCCTATTGACTCTCAAATGTTAAATGTGTGAGTGAGTGATGAGTAAATGAGGGAAGTTTTGCATGAATAATAGAGACTACGTACTAGGAGTAGAATAGGAAAACTCTGTTAATAAGAACTCTATAAGTATAGAAAGCTGTTAATGAAAATTTTCTGAGTAGACGTGATATTGGAAATATCCTTAAACAGGATAAAATTGTCTAAACGTTCAGTCCTTTTATAAATCAATCCTCTATAACTGATAAGGTGAACATTATTAATGAGGTTGACTTTATAGTAAAATTATAAATTGACAGTGTTTACTGCTCCTGAGTCTGAACGTAAAGCAGATTAAAATTTTGAACCATTGAGAAAATACCTCAATCCTCATTTTAAACTGATGATTTTGCTTATGTCCTGGAGATTTCATGCAGCTTGCCTTTGCTGTCTTCCATAGGGCTGTATAATCTTTCTGGCTTTCGGATAGACCAGAGTTAATAGAGACATCATTTAAAACTGAGCCATATAGCAAACCATATTGTCAGGTACCTATGCAACAATCCTGCATGATATGCACATGTACCCCAGAACCTAAAGTACAATAAAAATAAATAAATAGAATGAAGAAAAAAAAAAACACTGAGTCATACAGATAAATGTAATTTGTAGTGAAGATGAACGTTTTGTAGGTATTCTTTGTTTTCTTTATGAGTATGTGCTTTTCAACATAATGTGTATAGTCAACCCCTCCACACACACACCACAATGAGATTATGTTTTCCCTGATGGAATTTCTAAGTTTCATTCTTACTTTTTGAATGAGCTTAAACTTAGTTTTCAAATAAACTAGTTTCACTTTTTGCCAGTATATTAGGCCTTTAGGAGACAGGCAATCATCTTGAAAACTCTGAGTTTAGTAGAAAGAAGTGTGAGAAAGTATCAAGTAGGTTTTTGGATATGATTAGACTTTGAGTGGTCCCTTTCTAACAACACAAGGATATTAATTCCTTTGGAATTCATGTTCTTTGATCTGCAGATTGTCAAGAGCTATTTGAATCCTAACTATATTTCAGGTACTATATTAGGTGCTATAGTGGATGGAATAAAGAATAAAACTCATCAAAGAACTCATAGTTTAGTGGAATATGTCATGTGTGTACCTAACACAAATCGAGTATCCCATATCTGAAATGCCTGGGACCAGAAGTGGTTCAGATTTTA